ATCTCTTCAATTTCATCGTCTTTATCATCATGGTTGTTATAATTACTAATTTCGAGAAAAAAGGAGTCGTTAAAAGGGCCTTCAAATACCCTAAAAGAAGATAAATATAGTGATGTGATGGAAACAAGGATTCATTTTATGTTTTCTTCTTTCTTTCTACTATATTATTATTGCTTTCCTCTTTTCCTCTTATTTCTCCTCACTTTTTTACGCTCTCCCTCTTTTCCCTCACCACTTCGCCTACTTTCTTCCTCCATCAATACGTATTTCCCCGTGTAATTTGAACATCCCGTTGTTCGCACAGTTCACCACGCCCTCCCCTGATTCTGAAAGACAAATTCGGATCTTAAATTCCGGGACCTTACTGATGCTCGTATCATTATTTTATATTTTAACTATTATCATCATTATTAACGTTGTCAATATTAATACTATCATTATTTTAATTGTTGTCTTTGTTATTGATAATGAAAAAATAATATCATTATCATAATTATTAAGTAAAGATTTAATTATTATGTAAATTACTGTTATCTTTTTGAATAAACCAGTGTGTGAATATGAGATGTAGGCTTACAAATTACATTGTTTTTATTTCTACACGAGTAGAATTCTCAATGACTAATACAGTAATTACGAATTTAATGTGTACAAGTATGTGCGTTTCTTTCGTAAATGATTTCAAGTTTGCTCATGATGAATATAATTGCATATATATATGGAATTCATGGATATATATATATATATATATATATATATATATATATATATATATATATATATATATATATGGAATTCATGGATATGTAGGTTGTAATGTATTTTATCATCAATAAGAACATCAATAATGATAGGCCTACTTCGTGTTAAATATACCTGTGTAGCTGATTGACAAGCGACAAGACGATAAATATGATATAGTGTTGAAGAAAAAACTTATATGGACTAGATGCAAAGATCTTCAAATCGTAAGATAAAGATGTCGGAGATTAGGATTTACTTCAATTTCTCTTATAATTATATCCCGATAATCTATCTTTATGCATTTTCCGTTTACTTCTATCGCCACTTGTCCTTGCAACTCACTTGGCTTCCTCCTGAATCTGTAATCTGCAAGTCATCGTTATTTCAGTTCGGTCTGCCATACATCCTGCTTCATTTATTTTCATTTTATCAGTGCATTGCTTTTGGAGGTATCGGATAATTATGTTGTGTATATATATCATAAGAAATAGATAATAAGATTTAAAAATATGTATAATCTTGCCTCTGCCGGGACTCGAACCCGGGCCCACAGTTTCCCAGACCGCCGTGCTACCCGTTACACCACAGAGGCTTTCTTGGCCAAAGAAAGATATTGGTGATCTTAATTGTTCGCAAACTGGTTCCAGGCCAAGCTTCAGATGCAACTCCTCATTCGAATGCTGCTGCGATGCTCTCATGTTTATTAGATTGGACTTTATATCTGAGCTTCAGAGAAAATGCAGAAGGTATATCAGACAAAAATGTGAGAGAGAATCTATATATCTATCTTTATATATATATATATATATATATATATATATTATATATATATATATAATGTGTGTGTGTGTGTGCGCGTGTGTGTGTTTTCTTTAATTTTTTTTTTTCGCCTTGCTTTGTTTCCATACACCTTCCTGCAAGGCAGTTCTCTGGGATCGAAAAGCTTTCCCCAAGAGAGGCTCGCGTGCCAGCCAGGTCAGCCAGCCTCTGGGCGCAAAGGCCGCCCCTGCGAGGCCCTTCAAGAGGTTATTGAACTCTCTCACTCTCTCTCACTCTCTCTCTCTCTCTCTCTCTCTCTCTCTCTCTCTCTCTCTCTCTCTCTCTCTCTCTCTCACTCTCTCTCTCCTCTCTCTCTCTCTCTCTCTCTCTCTCTCTTCTCTCTCTCGCTCTTCTCTCTCTCTCTCTCTCTCTCTCTCTCTCTATCTCTCTCTCTCTCTCTCTCTCTCTCTCTCTCTCTCTCTCTCTCTCTCTCTCTTGTGGGATTTATTTCAAACAAATTTCAAAAGGAACAACGAAGGGAAGAACAAGGAAACACACACGAATATTCATGTTTCATGTTCTTCCCTCTCTCTTTCTCTCTTTCTGTGATAAAACATGCCTATTAATTCAGGTAAAAATGATATAAAATGTGAACTATTGTTAAGATAGATGGACATAGATATAGATATATAGAGAGAGAAAGAGAGAGTGAGAGAGAGAAAGAGAGAGAGAGAGAAGTCAGCAAAAGTATGTAAATATAAAGTATATGCCGTACGTACATCCCTGTTAGTCCTTTCAATCAGTGTAGACAATTAATTGGAAACAAGTTTAATTGGCAAAAGCCAGGAGGTAATTACTAGTGAAAACGGTACATCGTTCTCTCTCTCTCTCTCTCTCTCTCTCTCTCTCTCTCTCTCTCTCTCTCTCTCTCTATCTCTCTCTCTCTTCTCTCTCTCTCTCCTCTCCTTCTCTTCTCTCTTTCTCTCTCTTCTCTCTTCTCTCTTTCTCTTCATATTCTCTCTTTCTCTCTCTCTCTCTCTGTCAATCCAGCAAGAGAAAAGTCTTGAATAATTATTCTGTTTGAATACTTTTGTGCCATATTCTCTCACCGCGTATTGGGCTCCCGCGATTTGCTTTTCTCGTCCCAATTTTCTTTTTGTACAAATGCTGTCTATAGAATTATGGCCTTTGAAAGTGATGTTATTTTTTAAAAATTCATACTCCAGCATCAACATTTCGCGATATCGAAATAGGCCTACTTCGTGTTAGATATACCTGTGTAGCTGATTGACAAGCGACAGGACGATAAATATGATATAGTGTTGAAGAAAAAACTAGTATGGACTAGATGCAAAGATCTTCAAATCGTAAGATAAAGATCGTCGGAGATTAGGATTTACTTCAATTTCTCTTATAATTATATCCCGATAATCTATCTTTATGCATTTTCCGTTTACTTCTATCGCCACTTGTCCTTGCAACTCACTTGGCTTCCTCCTGAATCTGTAATCTGCAAGTCATCGTTATTCAGTTCGGTCGGTCTGCCATACATCTGCTTCATTTATTTTTCATTTTAATAGTGCATTCTTTTGGAGATCGGATAATATGTAGTGTATATATATCATAAGAAATAGATAATAAGATTAAAAAATATGTATAATCTTGCCTCTGCCGGGACTCGAACCCGGGCCCACAGTTTCCCAGACCGCCGTGCTACCCGTTACACCACAGAGGCTTTCTTGGGCAAGGGAAGATATTGGTGATCTTAATTGTTCGCAAACTGGTTCCAGGCCAAGCTTCAGATGCAACTCCTCATTCGAATGTTGCTGCGATGCTCTCTTGTTTATTAGATTGGACTTTATATCTGAGCTTCAGAGTATATGCAGAAGGTATATCAGACAAAAATGTGAAGAGAGAATCTATATATATTCTATATATACCGGGGGTTTCTCTGCCTCTCCCCCCCCCCTCTCTCTCTCTCTCTCTCTCTCTGAATTCCTGACACCATTCTCTCTCCCTCTCCCCTATTTTTTCCTATCTCTCTCTCTCTCTCTTTGCTGTTCTAATTATAGTAATAATAATAGCAGTGATCGTCTCAATAACTATGGTTGTAACATCAGTAAAAGATGGGGAGAGAGTGAAACAGCCAGAGAGAGAGAGAAAGAAATGTAGAGAATGGGAGGGACTGAATAGAAACAGTCCCAAACACAGATTCATTTTGCTGAAAAGGACACAGTGATATTGGAAATAAAGTAAACACAGTATCTGTTCCCACCGGAAACAATCAAATCTAGTCCATATAAGTTTTTTCTTCAACACTTTATCATATTTATCGTCTTGTCGCTTGTCAATCAGCTACACAGGCATATTTAACACGAAGTAGGCCTATCATTATTAATGTTCTTATTGATGATAAAATACATTACAACCTATATATCCATGAATTCCAATTGTTTTAATAATTACAATTACTATTATGGCGATAAACAAATGCCACTAATACTGCAATTAATGATAAAAAAAATAGCGATGATGATGATTTTGATAATGACAAAGTAATCTCTAATTTGATAATAATAATGATTATGATAATAAGACAAAAGTAACAGCAATG